TGAGGTACAGACCAGGGGAATCTAGAGACCAGTGATAATGAGGTACAGACCAGGGGATTCTAGAGACCAGGGATAGTGAGAGACAGACCAGGGGAGTCTAGAGACCAGGGATAGTGATAGACAGACCAGGGGAGTCTAGAGACCAGGGAAGTCTAGAGACCAGGGATAGTGAGGTACAGACAAGGGTAGTCTAGAAACTAGTAAGAATGAGGTACAGACCAGGAGAATCTAGAGACCAGGGATAGTGAGGTACAGACCAGGGGAGTCTAGAGACCAGGAAGAGTGAGGTACAGACCTGGGGAGTCTAGAGACAGGGATAGTGAGGTACAGACCTGGGGAGTCTAGAGACCAGGGATAGTGAGGTACAGACCAGGGGAGTCTTGTGACCGGGGATAGTGAGGTACGGATCAGGGAGACCACTCCAGTCCTGAAGGGCTGCATTGAAAGATAGGATAAGCTGCTAAACATAATTGAATATCCCAATAATTGGCCAACTTGAATTGCCTGTTAAGAGCTGAATTGAATTGAAACCCCACAGACACGTTGGGTCTTGTACTTTAGTTGGGGACCCTTGATGCTGCTATGAGCTGTTACTTTCAGATGGGAGAGTCTGGGCCTGGTCACAGCTTTGAACCACTGTCTGACTGTTCAGTCCTGTGGTGCCCTTGTACGTCATAACATGGTCAACTTACCATACCTCCTCTGTACGTTTGCCATGTTTTTCTCAGGGTGTGACTATACATTGAATAGAGTTACACTCTGCTTCTGTTCCCTGGAGCATGTATATTTCCATCGGCAGTATAAAGAAGCATAAGTGACAGCACGCACAGTGGGGTGTGCTGACAGCATTGTTGCAATTATACAGCACTGGGTCATGCACCTACCAGCTTGCTAATTTATCAAGTCAGAAAGCTTCTGCAGTTACACAATGGTCTTCATGGAAACAGAGCGGGAAACATCCTCTGGTCTGCTCTGAGTCCTGACTTCAATGCCAACAGAATTCCTCCGGGTGAAGTGAAAGGATAAATCATGAAGAGACCAACAATCACAAACCATCTTCTCTCTAACCAAATTTGAAAAAAGGTCCAAAATTAGCAGAGGAGGTTAACTCGTTGGGAATTTAATTGGTTCAATTAAATAAATAATAATTAAAAGGGGGAGTTGTATGGTGAAGCAGCACTGTGGATTTTCTGTAACCTCTACTGTCAGCTACATTTTTGTGTTATTGCACTGAGGCATTTGAAGGCTTCACTGTCTGTGAGCAAACATACAGACATGCCATTAAAGACCACAAGAGGACAAAGCTAAATGGTATTGTAACTGGTTGTGCTTTGCACAAATATTTAATGACTCTACATGGGTCTGACAGACAAAAGGGTGAAGGTGCACAGGTAAACTAAGTTCATGTTTCAAGGTTATGCAACAAATGTGGTGTAACAGGAAAAGCTTCCCAGTAAACCTAGCATTTCTGTAAGAGGAATGCAATCTTGAAACACTTCAGTGGAACCACAGTAGATTTCCTTATGTGCTAGAATGAGCACCACGAAATGGTGGTACAGTAGATCTTCAGAATCTCAGCCTGGTTAACACCTTAATATGGGTGCACCGTATCAAAGGTACATGCTGTACATGAAATCAAAATGCGAGCATGAGAAAGGCGTTGTGATTGGTGGTGCTTTCCACCATTCTTTGTCTAGATGTCACAATTAAGGACCTGTGGGTCAGCTCTGTACATACTGTACGCTTGGGAAACTCCCAATGACAAACAAGAATCTGCTTGTCCTTGGTCATCAAGCTTTCTTTTCCTGTCATCCTTGCCTCAGTCCTTCCCTCCCTTGCTGCTGTGCCTTGAAAGTGTTTCGAGATTGCAGTTCTGCTACTGAAAAATCGGCCATACCTGTATTCGTCATTCCTGTTGCGCCACATCCGTTTCGTAACTACCCTTGAAATGAGAACTCGATTCACCTGAGCTCCTTCACCTGGTTTCATCAAAGTTACGCCCACTTGCATGCAAAACAGGTCTTGCCTTTGCTCTACTCCCGTCATGACCCAGACCTTTCTGTCTAAACACATAACATCAATTCCACTACTGATTGAAAAGAAGAAACAGTAGATAAACAGTATATATTTGAGTGCACTGATAGGGTGGTATGTTCATTATTTGTGATTCCTGTCAGATCACAGCATGTTAAATGGCAGGGTGGAAGAGATGTGGGCCTGCAGGCGCGAGGCGTTGAGGTGACGGACAAGCGAGAGTCACAGTGAATCGCAGTTCACCGTCTCCTTGCAGCTTCTCATCCTCGCACCTGGTTTTTATGGGATTTCGCCTCTACAATATTTTACTAGACGTATTTCTAGTGAAGTCTGGGTTGAGTAAGGATATGCTCCTCGTCGCCATGAATATAACTTATCGTTTCACGCAAACGGAGATGTGCCAGGTGGCAGGGGTACCAGTGCCGGAAGGGTCAGTTCACAGAGAAAGAAAGGAAACAAAACACATCAGTGCTCTACTAATCCTTTAATGAGTCTGCGGACAGTTACAGAACATAGGTCTCCTCACAGCAGTCAGAAAAGGACACAACACAGTGCATTGAATGTGACATTATGTTTATTGTAAATACAATAATGCCCTGTAATGAGTTCATTTACACTTTGCTTTGCAATGTAAAGGAGTTATCAGCTGCATTTTCCTGTTATTTCACTTTTATACTGACTAAATTAGCATTCGTTACACTACGTCTGTTTTACAAAATAGAATGGATGATTACAAGGGAGAAGCTTCAGATGAGAACGCCCTCTCCCCATGCATTTGCACAGCTATAAATATTCCAGCTGAAGGAAACCAGAATATTTTGCAATGGTAAACATTGAACAGAAAATATTCAGTACATTACTCGTATTAAATGATCTAGAGTTTTTTGCAGATGATAACTTTCTCCTCTCAAACTAGACATAACTTGCTACATCTGTATTGTTAACCTGATATTAAAAAAAACTACAATAATCAGAACATCACAACAAGGAGTTATTAGTCAGATAAATAACAAAATGGTTTTAATATCTACCTAATCAATCTCACAAACTTAAATAATATAAATTAAGTTAACCTTAGAAAAATAAACTACGTTGTACCTTCTAAATAAATAGTGTTAAAAAACTAAAATCCAATAGCAGCTACTGTGACCACGCTCCACAAGAAAGGAAACAAATCAGGAATTAGCTACTCCCGCCTTCTGCTTTCCAGTTTTCTGACAGTAGTAATGCACAATGAAACAACCTCCACACAGTCTGTGAAGACTATCCTGTATACTCCATTCCACATCGCATCATGCAAAATATGAGAGACTGTTATGAAAAGGACAGTATTTAAAGGAATTTAACAGCAAATTATCTGCTACAAAAATATATATTCTGAAGACATGAAATTAATGGTAAGCACTGCTTAAAAGCTATACTCAAATTTAAAGCAGTAAAACAGCCACATATTCAAACACCAAAATCAGGACAATTCCCAGTTAGTACTACTCTACATCCATAATTTCTTTCCTCTGATGAGTTAAACCTCTTGTGGAAAGTAAAGAATGAAATACGGATGCTTACACCCAAGTGCACAACTAATGAACTCATTGGGACAAACACAATGAGTTGAATTGAATTTGTGAGCTGTTTTTCTAACAAAGAATTTGGTTGATGTAATGTGCACACTGAGCATGTACAAAGGAATTGGGGCAGAAAAAAATCACTGTTCATTTTTAACTGCTTAGGGATGCAGAGATAGTGATTCTTTAACAGGAAAAAAGAAAAATATTGCTTTCATAAAATTTTAAGCAGTTTTTACTGTATGTATTCATATAAAACTGGTACTATAGAAAGGCACTACATTATTTATGATCAACTTCAGACACAAACCCTCAATCTGAGTGTTAACTCTTTTATGTTCTATTGCTTCATAGTGGCTTTTTCATTCACGTTCATCAAAGGTTCATCACAAGAAATACGGGGAGACACTAGAGGGCAGCATTGCACTCGGTTAAGTGTGCACATTTTCTGTGATTTAAACGAGCAAGTCATAAATAAAAGCCATTACCAAAGAACAGGTATTTTCACGTAGTACTTTGAGGTGTGCTTTGTCTACTGTGTGTCATAGAGAGACAGCCATGAACTCCAGGACTTTAGAATTTTAAGCATATGTAACGTCTTTGTAAACACCGCTTAAAGATACAGTATCCAAGCCCCAGAGACACACACCTACTCAAAAGAGCAGGAAAAGGTGTAAAACTTTCAGTTAGAAGCCTTGCAGTGCTTTGGGATCATCTCCTTTTTGCTGTAAACACATGAAAAGCTATAATATGGAATAAATCACTGTTGTAGCAGTGGATAAATAAAAAAATTGTGGAAAATAATAAGTATACCGACTGATTTTGATAACGCTCTGCATGATTTGGGAGGTGCTGGACTGGTGCTACTCTGTCACAAGTGCAAAAAATACAAAGTAACACCATATTCCACTGAGAACGGAGTCATAAAAAGACACAGCAAATATCTTCAGTACTGAACTTTGGTGCCAAATTCTGCCATGTTGGTGCCCTGATGTTTTAGCAATGGCCCAACCCCAACTCTGAGCTGTAACTGTATACCTCCTTTTGAGTTTTCACACTGGGCATCTTATTTATTTCACTGAGCCCAACTGTAAGCAAGCTTGAAAACAGTCTTTGGCTCGTGGTAATTGATCACATAATTGATCGGCAAGTTAGGGTTCCGGGCGTCTGAATCTATTGAGGTGCTCTGGAGAGCCGAAACATTGTTTGGCTCTTTATCTTCGCGTTTGTAACAGCTTGCATGCTCACTGCTGGCGGGGAAATGAGAGGGAGTGTGCAGTGGAGCTACAGGAGGTAGGGAGCATGTTGTTGCGTTTTACACCTGCTGTAAGTGCACCTTCATGTTTTAAACGATTTTAATGATGGTTGAGGCAGGCGCGCGGCTTTAACTGTGACCAAACATCCCTTTTCAGGGTTCTGTTCTGTTTAACCCTTGGGAGGAGGCAGCTGGGAAAGGTGCCCTTGCACTAGTCTTCCTCAGCACTCCTGCCTGGATAGCCTAGACCCGAGGGGTTACCTTTCCGTGGTCAAAAAGCACAGAAGAGCATACTTACCTGTGGGACCTGGAAAAGCAGGATCCTCACAGACTGCCCAGACAATGTTCAGTCAGTATAACGTACCACGTTTGTAGTTAAAGAACTCTGGACTAATGGCTTTTGTCATTAAGAATTAAACCACAATCACTGTCATGCTTTTCACCTTATGACTCTGTTTCAAATTAGCTGGGAACATTGTTCATCTAATCAAGACTCAAACAATGAAACTAAGGAAGACGTCTATGCCAAACTTGACCAAATTCTCTGTGGAATCTCAAATAGGCTTATTCTACTTGGAGACTTGAAGGCTAGAGACAAACAACATGCCACTCCAATGGTATTTATCTTCTTACCTATATGCACAGATCATGGGCCTCTCACCATGGTCACAACCAAAGGACACAAAACATTCTGCCAACATCTACAGTCCAAATACTTGCCAGGACCCATGAAGTCATCCACATCACCTGAGTTCATGACTCCTGGACCAATTACTGTCTTATCAGTTCAGTTACTGATCTGTCTATCAAGCTGCCTCCCAAACATCGTCTGCAGGAAATGCAATGTTCTTCCACAACAACATCACTGAAGCCCTGAGTGACCCAACCAAAGGAGAAATATTTGTCAAGAAGGGGAAACTCTTCAAGCCTCAACTAAGAACACAAGGAAAGCGTTCTTTTCACTTGGGAAGACCTCAAATAATGAAATAATATCTGGCTGAAATTTTTAAGTATGTTGGACAAGTAAAACAACATGTCTAACATACTTAAAAACTCATAAACATAAACAACATAAAACTCAAGACCTTCTCCCAGAATTCCTGTTCGGATTGTGACCCTCATGGGAATTGACCGGCATGGGTTTTATAGCCTGCCAATTCCAGGAAAAATGTCAGAAACACCAACACACCTACTTCTCTGTCTCGACAGAGGCATTTGACTCCTGGCTTTTCAAGATCCTGCTGAAGCAGGAATGTCCAGTGGATTTCCTCTGAAATTCATCAACATTCTTCACCTGCTTTGTCATGAGAGGCATTCAGAAATCTTCAGTAATCGATCCATTACAGAGCCCAGCTCTTTACAATCCAGAAAAGAGTTGCACAAGAATGTGTCATCGCCTCCACTCCTTTTTTCATATTTTTAAGTTCCAAGTTCCATTGGATAATGGACGAGCTGCCCGCTGGAGTGCAGCTAACGTGCCAAATAGATGGCAAATCATTTAATCTCTAATATCATTGATCCAAAACCTAAACCATCCTTGGACTTAACATTCAGAAGACCAAAGTTCCCGCATTAGGAAGCTTCAAATGCACAAGCCCCAGTGCCATAGATTCAGATTCTCATTGAGTGTCTGGAGAATGTAGAGTACTTCCCATTCCTTGTGTATCATCTTTCACAGAAGTTATTGATATTAATGAATAAATGCAGCATCACCTGAAATCTGCATGTGCCACCTTTGGTGCATACAGAAGTGAGTGTTTGAAAATTCTGACATTAAAACTGAAACCAGACTGGGTGGTCTACTGTGCAGTTATCATTCCTACGTTACTGCACGGGGCTAAAACACAGACAACACTGTTGTCTCCCAAGCCTTAAAACTATGATCATCCTCCATCAGCTCTGTTGTGTTGGTCATGTTGTCTGGATGTCAGCCCCCCAAGAAGATTCTCTCCTCTTACAGCACTTGATCAAACCTGATGGAGGAAGAACTTAGCATGTCGAGACCCCAAGATGTTAGAACAAGGAAGCAATGCAAGAGCTTGGAAGAGAGCTCATCATGACTGGAGTGCGCAGTACATGATCAGGTATCTCCTGAGCAGACAGCTGCTCTACCAGCCATCCAGAGTGCAGGCCCTGTTCTGGCCACCTCAGTCACCCTCAGATTCAATCCTCACTGACTGCAAGGGACAGCCCATGAATTATAAAAGTGTCTGGAAAATAACAATGCAGGTCTTGAGCGTTACCTTGAGTGTATCAAAAGTATCTCTGTCTGTAACAGTGCACAGCAACAGAGATTATTCATAATAACCTCCCTTCTTCTCCCTTTCCAGCACTTTAAGTCACTCGTTTTTTTAAAACACACATCAAATCAGTCAATGCTCACTCTGCACTTTCAGCCTAACACCACCTCTTTACCTTGTGGGTACTGACTTGGTAGAAACTGGTGCTTTTCGAGAATGTTTTCATGGGGGGTACGCATTTTTATAATCAAAGGAACAAAACCTTCACAGCCGCCCTGGTGAAACGCACACATCTTAACATCCATGGTTCATCAGTGGTGAATAAAGGCTCGATCATACAAGTCATCCTTTTCACACTGCCAGATCTCATTCAGAGGCATTTTGTGAACGTGGATCCGCATCTCCACTGGCCTGTCCCGTCTGTAAGTTATCGTCTTCTCATTCATGGTGGGTAAGTAGGACATGTCCTGCGTTAAGAGAGGATTCGTTCTTAACTGAAAAGTACTTGTACATGGTAGATGCACAGTACCCATGCAAAGAAGAAAAAAGTTTACCTTAGGTGATACATCATTGACAGCGTCTGAAGACACGTCTCTCCTCCGATTTTTTCGGGCCAAAATGTACTTCAGAATCAGAATGAGCATGAGCCCAAGTGCAATTGTAATGAGGAAAACAGCTGTGAATGTGGGGAAGTATTGCTGCTCAGATAAGCATTCTGGAAAAGAGAAACAGAAAACTAAAAGTCTTCAGTGTTAGGAGTCATATTTGATACCTGGAACAATGTTAAAAGTTTTTTGAGGAGATCTTCATTCACTCATAGATAAGTGTAAAAGTAAGTCTCTTTTTTCCAGGTGTATGTATTGTATCTTTGAGATGTATATTTTTTCCAGACGTATTTTATCTTTTAGATGTATCTTTTTTTTAGTTGTGAGGGCAGGAGTGGATCGAAGAAGGCATAATCAGCAAATTAGGAAAACAAAGAACAGGACAGGTGAGACGTTT